TCCTGCTGGGGCACTGTGGGGCTTCCCTTCCCCACATCCCTGCCAGACTGTGCTCACTGGAGCTAAAGGATAAAGAGTAAGCTAACTGGTTATGACTGCACTTGTCGGTTAAACGATTGTTTAACCTTTCACATTCCTATCTTTGAGGGCTCTTGTTCAAGGCAACTATCCATTAGAAAGGGTACTCAGAAATCCAGTTGCTCTTCTCCCCCAGTCTAGTGTAATCCTCTAGGAACAGTGCCTTGCCTATTCCTCTATTATGTGTACACCAGATCCCAAACTATCCCTTTATAGTAAGGGACAACAATTTTTATTCTTGTAGGGCAGAATGAGCAGCCTCTCTCTTGTGCATTTCTTTAAAAAAATCAGATGTTACTTCCAATACATTCTTCTGAGATCCAAGGCTCTCAAAGAAATGAAGGGAAAAACAACTCCTTTCAGTCTGTTGCAAATCTTGGCAAAATACAGGGAAGGCTGACTTTATTGTGTAGTTTGGGGCATGCTATTTTACAGTGTTCCATTCTTAAGTTTTAAGCAAATTTTGAAAACCTATGGAACATAACATAGAAAGAATTATGGCATCCGGCTGAATAAGATTTAGAAAACGGGGACTCAAAGTCCATGTATCCAATGAAGAGGAGACCCTAAAGCTGAAGCAACAACTTGCAGAATCTTAAAATTATATCAACAAGACAGAACTACACCATATATTTTAAGAAGATAATAGGTAATTGAGAAAAATACATGAACAGGTACATGCATTATTGATAATGATGGAGCTGCTACTGCTTAGAAACACTAAAATAAAACACAGACAAACTCACAAAGACAAAAGCAAAACACTCCTGCCTGAGCATCAGAGACATGAAATTCCAAAGGCAGAAAGATAGACAATTTTGTGATTTTAAGGGTTGCTGCAAGTTTGCTGTATTCTGCAAATCATATTTTGACATTTATTTCAAAAGTTGTTTTTAAAAGTAATGTTTTAATTATTATTTTAATTATTGTTAATATGCATGTTAAACAATTTACTGTTACTGTTTCAAAATTAAATCTTGCAGGGCAGGGGGGTGGGGAAGCTGACGTGTCTCCTCCTAAAGAATAGCAGCAAAGATAAGCACTTGTATCTTCCCCATATCAAATATTCCACAAGTAGATACAAAAACTTAAAAGCCTATAAGGTAAACAGGAACATAGGCAATTTCTAAAGTTTAGACACCCTCCTCTTTGAAAATACAGGAAGTTAAAAACTGCAGAAACCTGAGAATAATGCAAACAGGTCCAATTGAGATAACGGCTCTCCCCCAGGAATTGGTTGAAATAAAATATGTACTAAGTTGGTATGGTGTAAAAAATTATTTTTACTAACAGTGTCTAGAGGGATGAACTTGAAACTTCTATTATTTTCTGCCCTCATCACAGGTGCTCACACAATATTTTTCATTTAATATTCAAGCAGGAAAATAAAAACTGTTTCTGGGGTAAAAACAAAACAGATGCGAGACATAGCCAAGATAAACCACTATACATTTTATTTTGTCTTCTCACCAGACACTGATTGAGCATCATCACAAGTGACCTTTTTTAATTACTTGGATATTTTTTAAAACCATTATAGTTCCATGTCAAACTAAGGCCCTGATCAACCAGGAAGATTATGCCCTTACCCATTTTTAAGATACAAGCTTTAGCCAATTATGTTGTATAAGTGTTCCTTTAAAATGTGCAGTCAGAAATGTTTTTTTAAGCTTTAGAAAATATGTAATTTTTCATTTTCCCAAAACTCAAAAGACAGAAGGTAGATTGCCAAAAATTCACTTTCAGGCAGGGTTCTGTTATGAAAAATTCCAGTCCAAAGCTAATGATTTAGGAATGATGCCAGCATTTTAATGGAAAATGGTAGTTAGAATGGAAATCAGTTTGCAACAATGCCCCATGGAATGATATTGTTCTATATTGGCCTCAGAAAAGAAAAACTACATATTTATTGTGCATTTTCTACAAACCTGTTTTAGTCTTGCAAGTTCTTTCAAAGCCCTTGCCCACTGTTGCTTGTAGTGAAGCTTTGACTTGGTAGCCGATTCCAATTTTCTTTCAAGTTCAACCTAAGAGCAATTAAAATCATATCAGCGGAAACTTTATACTAGTGGTTACAATCATTGAAAGACTATATATACAAAGGTTCTGGCTTAAGAAGTGTTTATGTAATGTAACCTACAACATCATCTAAAGCTGTTATATAGGTTAATATAAATATTATGGCACATGAACATTTTCTTGTTTAAAATATAGCTTTATTTTTATTATATATAGCAGTCTATATGAAAAGGAACTAGATAAGTCTTAGTCCCAAGACAGCAGATATAAACTTTTTTTTGAGTCCTCAAACCCTTGAAAAACCACATTCATATTTCTATAAGTTGTAATTTAGCATTCCAAATTAATTAGCACTGACCTCTTAGTGCCAAACAGTGCCCTTAGAGATGTGGGGTGGCTCCTACTGAAGCCACTGGGAGAAACGGGTTTCAAATTAAATGTGGCCCTTGGATTGGAGTGGGGGAAATAAGAAAAATTGGCCTGTATTCCAAGTAGTGTTAATTATGCCCTGTATTCAGCCAGATCTATCCTAGAAGCTTAAAAAATATTTTATTGCTTAACTTAACAAATAGAAGATACAGGACTAGTTTAAAACAATATTTTATCCATTTAATGTAATGCGCTAAAAAGGTAATTTGAATTCTAAGTAAATACTTCTATAATGTATATCTAAGATATACAAAGCAACAAGGCAAAAATAGTCTAATCAAAATACTCATTTTAAAAGCACTAGGCAATCTGTTATACATGAATAAAAGCCAACTTGGCTATGTTTTAGGAATGTACTCTCTCAAAGTCTGACTTGGTTCATAGTTTGAATGTGGCTAGTCTAGGTTGGGGTGTTGCTAAATTTAAGTGATAAATCTGTCCAAGTCTAAGTCATAAATTTGTTCTTTTGAACTCATCTACCAAGCCAAAGTCCAAAAAGAGTCGAGTTCAATTGTTTGCTCAATTACTGCCATTACTTTAGACAATTCAAATGCAAAGACAAAAGGAAACTGTAAAACTACCAATGCTTTAGAATGATGAGATATTCACATATATTGCAATTGAGTTGAAAATAATCACAATAATTAGAAAGGTTGCTAAACAGATAAGATTTGCTATACTGGAAATTTAACGTAAGACATCAAATCTGTCATCAAAAGTAGCCACTATTAGATGCAAAGGGGGTTATAATAAACCACCTCCAGAAAATGTGTGCGTTTTATTATGCTGTAGTATAGGGGTGAGCAAAATACAGCCAGGCCATTCTATCCAGCCTGTGGACCCCCTAAAATTTTTAAAAAATTAATTTTTATCTGCCCCTGGTTGCCTGTCAAAGATAACAGGCAGCCAGCGGCAGCAGGACCCAGGGGGAGCTGGCAGCAAGACCCAGCAGCTGAGCAGCAAGCCCCCCCCCCTCCTCCTCCCACCCTAGCCCCACAACCGGAAGCCTCTGCGACTTCTGACCTCCGAACCCTGGGGCTGTTCCCTGCCTCCCTCTGTCCACGTGGAAAGTAAGGTAAAATTGGATGGAGGGAGAGGGGAGAAACCGCTGCAGTCAGCCTAGCAGCCAGGAGCTGCGTGGTGCTGGCCAGGGCAGGCTGGAGCCAGAGCTGGAAGCCGTGGGTGGGGGGATGGAGGGCAATGGGGAAGCAGTAGGGGAGGGGCCAGAGCGAAGGAGGAGTGGCGGGGGTGGCTGTGGGAAACGACAGGAGCATGGGCAGCAATGGGGGGAGCAGCAGCAGGGCCGCAGGAAGTGGCAGCAGCACGGG